ACAAGATTCTTCAATGGAATTGGGGCTCAGCAAAGACCTACTCCAAGTCACAGCTGAGCAAGGGCACCAGGGGCTGGAGATGGCTCAGTGGTAAAGAGCCCTGGCTGCTCTGGGAGACGACCAGAATTCAGTTCCCAGCATCCATGTTGGGCAGCTCACAATGGCTTGTAATTCCAGCTCCGGGGTGACCAATGCCCTCTTTTGGCCTCTACAAGCACCTGCACAAGCTGATGTGTATACACACACACACACACACACACACACACACTTCGTATTTTTTCCTAACTAATAACACCAGCACCAGAACTTGGCTTTTCTGACTCCTTGGTCTGTTGTGCTTGCCACTCTACCATTCTCCTCTTCTAGGACCAGAAAATTTTACAGGAGGTTAGAAAAATGTTACGTTAGTGGGACATAAAGATATATAACAAAAGACAAATATCATATGTACTCACTCGTAAGTGACTTTTAGACATAAAGCAAAGAAATATCAGCCTAGAATTCACAACCCCAAAGAACCTAGACAACAAAGAGGACCCTAAGAGAGACATAATGGATCTAATTCACGTGGGAAATAGAAAAAGACAAAATCTCCTGAGTAAATTGGGAGTGTGGTAATCATGGAAGAGGGTAGAAGGAAGGAAGGGAGGAAGGGAAAGAACTGGAAAAAAAAAAAAACGTACAGCTCAATAAAAACAATTTTAAAAAAAAGGATTCATAACGAATCCTAGTACTCAAGAACTGAAGGCTAGCCTGAACTATGCAATAAAACTTCACTAAAAACAAAACAAATACCCTCAAGTTGAAGTCTTATACCATTAAGACAACAACACTATCACAACCAAAGATAGCTGATATATTCTAAAAACATTAACTGCAAGAGAAATCTCACTAAACAAAAACAAAGCAAAAAGAAAAACACACACACACACACACACACACACACAAAAGAAAACAAAACAGAAACAGAAACAAACCAGCAAACACAGAAGAGGAAGACTTCACAGTCCGTTCTCATTCCCCTTTCTGGCTTTCAGTGTTCCTGTAAAGACAGAACCTACCAGCCACCACATCCTGTTCCTCTAAACACAAAGATCCACGTCAGCTGGCCCAGTCTTTGCTAGACTGGCTGGCTAGCAAGCCCGTGGTGCCTGTCTTGTCTCCTCAGTGCTGAGATTACAAGGCATACATTGGAATGCACGGCTTTTTGTGTGGTACTGAGGATCCACTTTAGGTCCTCATGCTTGACTGGCAAGCACTTTACCAATTGAGCCATCCATCTTCCCAGCTCAGAAGCCACAATCTTCTGCAGTCACCTCATACCCTGAAGTACCTACTACTTCCTTAAGAACAGCATCCATTTATTACAGCAAGAAAGGATGGGCTCGGCTGTTCATTCTGTGTCCCTCAGAAGGAATGACAGAAAACCAACAAAAAGAAAGTTCACTATTTTCTGTCCACAATATGCTTTTATAGATTTGAAAACCTTTTTCGACTATGCATTTCCTCCTCAGTCTCTTCGAGTATCTACCACATCTCAGATTTACTATGAACTTCATGAGAGTATGCCTTATGGTATCCTCGTTGCTAATGCTATTTTAGACATGGGAGAGCATACAAAAATAAGCAAGCCTGACCATAAGGCAGCCAACAAAACAAACACAAATTGCTAAACACACAGCAATCCAAGCACTACATAAATACACGCATAAGGGCCTATGGTAGTAAATATAATTAGGATCATTGGAAGAGGCTCCATGGAGAGTCAAGTCGTAAATGACGATGAATGGGATTCAGTTAGGCATAAAAAACAATATGAGAAAAAAAAAGGCATAGCAAAGCACTATGTGACAGAAAAGTCTCATTTCTTCAGAATAAAAAGCTAACTAATAGGAAATGATAGATAACAAGGCTGGAAAATGAACTTGGAGCCAGAGACTACAAACGTCCTCTTATGTACTTCTATAGAAATTGGGAGGCAGAGGCAGGCGGATCTCTGTAAGTCTGAGGCCAGCCTGGTCTACAAGAGCTAGTTCCAGGACAGGCACCAAAGCTACAAAGAAACCCTGTCTCAAAAAACCACACACACACACAAAAGCAAAGGAGAAATAGCTGGTTTAATCATTTTTCCCAGAGAGAATTTTCGATTTTAAAAATAATTTTTCATCAGGCATGGTGGCACACGCCTTTAATCCCAGCACTCCAGAGGCAGAGGCAGGAGGATCTCTGTGGGTTTAAGGCCAGCTTGGTCTGCAGAGCAAGTTCCAGGACAGTCAGAGCTATTACACAGAGAAATCCTGTCTCAAACAATACCAACAAATAATAATAATAACTAAAAATAAAAAATAATTTTTCAGGGTTTTTTTCTTGTGTGTTTTGTTTTGGTTGTTGGTTGGTTTGCTTTGCTCTGCTGAGGTAGGGTCTTAGGACAAAGTCCAGTTCAGTGCTGGGAGGACAAGTGTGTGCATCATGTCCAGATTATCGCTTTTTAAGGTTCTGTTTTTGTTTTTAAGGGAATACCCAGGTAAGCTCCAGAAAAGGTCTATGAAACGTAAGAGCAGTCTTCAAGAAGCATGTGACTGGCCAATGACAATACAAGAGCTGGCTTTGGTGATAAGTCCTAGAAGTTACTTCACAGCCAGAAGAGCAAAGACAGAATCTAAATTTGTCTCTGAACTAAAGTCAGCCTGGAAAAATAGAAGAAAAAAAGAGATAGTAACACATTTGAAATTAGAATCCAAACAGTTTTATGTATTCACAAGTCAGGAAACATGTTAAGGAATGGGTTCTTCAAGGGCAACACCCAAGTGCCACAGATCCATGAAATACAACAAAAGTCAGGTAGAAAAGTCCCAATTCCAATGAGAGCAAATGGAAATTGAGACCGTAAAGGCCAGGCCACAGACTCCAAAGTACTTCACTAAAGAAACGGGCAGCTCGATCAGACAGAGAGAGCAGCAATCGCCCTATTCACAAGCTTGATGCACAAACACCCACTCCTCTCCAGAAGATCTCTAGGACTGTGGAGCAGGTTCCCAGATTCCGCCTCCATCCCCGCAATGGAAAACACATACCTCAGCAAATTCATAACACAGAGGAGGGCCAGAATCTTATTTGGAACATCAATTAAATAATCAATTGCCCTGGATTTCAAATATTTCATCCTTTTGTGAACCACGGGTCTCAGTTTTGTTTAAAGGATGGGAAACTTGAGATAGAAGGCAAAAACCCATCATTTGTACGGAAGGAGTAGGAGTCCAGGCTAGCCTCAAACTCAAGGTCCTCCTGCTTCAGTTTCCCCTGTGTTGGAACTTACAACCACAAAGCATGCAAAGTGGCAAAATGTTTGAAACTACCAGATGCCTCAACTTCCCAAAACGTGGTTTAAAAAAAAATCACTAACTTCATTAGCCCTTAATGTCCTCGCCTCTAAAACCAGGCTGCCTATGGGCTGTTTATGGAACAGACAATGGCAGGCACTTTGTGAACCAGAGTGCAGTGCCAAATGCAGAGAACTTGCTCTTAGGCTCGACAGGAGCAACTTCCATTTTTATCATTAGGTTACATGTCCAGTTCCTCGAAAGGAATCCAACAAAGCTTGCTCGGATCTCAATGAGTCCTCCAAAGCCTCACCCCTCCCGCCCCCAGGCCTTCTTCCGTCCCCTGAATCATCACCTGTTCAGATTGTGGCAGGTGAAGGGGTGGCAGACTACCAAGGCAAACACAAACGTCGGGAACAGAACACAATGACTCGCCCAAGGTCAAAAACAACATTACAGTGTAGCCAAGCCAGGCATGCCAGCAGCAGAGGCTACTTCTCGAGTGCTGCCCCTTCCGGAGCCTCAGGGAGCGGCGTAGATGCACCGGTCTGCAGAAAGCCCCGGGCCTCCACCAGGAGGCCCACACCTGACCGTCGCGGGCGCGGCCACCTCCTACACCCACCCTCAGCTCGGGCCCCACCCCCGAGGCCGAGACCCCTGCGCTGGGCCCCACAAGGTGAAGTTTGCCCGGCTCGCACCCCACGCCAAGTCCACGATCTCACTCACTATGGTGGCTCGGCCCAGGACCTCGCCGCCGACACCACCCGGCCGGTGCCGCTGGACATCCAGCCTTCCCCCAACCAGCAAACCCCTCCTTCGGCTCAGACAGCGAGCAGAGACGCCTGCAGACTTCCTCCGCGAGCTCCGCCCCTTCTCTGCCAAGTTGCACCCTCCGCCGGAGACGACGGAAGGACCCGTGAACCAGTCGAAACTCGGAACTGGAGGGTCGAGCGGACAGACGGCTTCTAGAGCCAATCCGTACGCGAGGCGGAGGGGGCGTGGCTCAAGGAACCGGGCCACGCCCCGTCGGTGCTTCCGCTGGCGCGGAGGAGGCGAAGGAAACTTTCCCAGAGTTCCTTCGAGCTCTCTGGGTTCCCGCGGGGGCTGAGGCGACAGCAGCGGGCGGGGAGGGGGCTGGGGTCCGCTGCGGATTGGGTGAGGAGCGGGCGGAGCACGGGGGACACTGTTTCCACCTCCAAGAGGCCCCAGAAACCCTGCTATTGGGAGCCTGGGCTGCCCGAGATTCCTGCTGTGCAGCCCAAAGATGAGGCTGTGCAGCCCGGCAGACATCCCCGTAGGCTGTACGGTGTAGTGCCGTACGGTGCGAGGTCAGGCTGCAAAGCCCCTCTGTTCCACTTCAGGGCTTCGTGGTACATCGGCACACTCCATTCTGTTAGGTCTTTCGCCCCCAATCACTCGGGTGCAAGGGACAGCTCTAGGATGTCAGATGCATGCCCTTACCCCAAGCTGCACGGGCTCCGGAAACCCAAGGACCCACCCTGACGAGTCTGCATGTTTGGAGCGCGGTTACCAGAAAGACCTATGAGCGTGCTTGTTGTCGGTCCGGTCGCCTGAGGAGACACCATTCCACGTTGGAAATTGTGTCTTCCAAACCAGGGCTGGAGTCATAAAAAAGAAGCTTGCTGACAGCATCCCGCTGGGGGGGGGGCGGAGCGTCCGGGAGAACGGTCACGTGGAGGAAGCGGAAACCCTAGCCATCTCATCTTCGCCGAACCTCTCGTCGCACTGTCTCTGTTTTGGACTGGAGCACTATCTTCCCCCTACTTTTGTCACGCCTGGTCCAGGGTGATGGCTCCGCCTGGGGATCCACGGCGCCTCTGCAGGCTGGTGCAAGAGGGCCAACTGCGCGCCCTGCAGGAAGAGCTGGAGGCGGCCGGAGGCTGCCAGGGGCCAGCTGGGGACACCCTTCTCCACCGTGCGGCCCGCCACGGGCGCCAGAACATTCTGGCTTATCTAGTGGAGGCTTGGAGTATGGACATCGAGGCTGCCAACCGAGACTACAAGCGGCCCCTACACGAAGCTGCCTCTATGGGCCACCGGAACTGCGTGCGCTACCTCCTGGACCGAGGGGCAGCTGTGGACTCCTTGAAGAAGGCGGACTGGTAGGTGCCCAGGATCCAGAAAAGCTACATCGCCGCAGATTTGTGCATTTTTCAGTGTGTCCACTTTTCCCAGCTTCTAATTCTCACTCCAACCTTCCTCTCTCTGTAGGTTTGGCTCTTTCGTTAGGACAATTGTCCTAACTAATATGACAAAAAGGACTCTTCCCGTTGAGAGACTATAGAAACGTAATCAACTAGTTAGCGGATGAATTTTATTACTCATGCGCCCAGGATGTGCTCTTCTGGAGACATCTTGCTAAATTACTTGTTCACAATTGCATTATTTTAATTGACATGCCGCAGTGGATAGCTTTCTGTTGCACGTGCATTGAATGTTGAGCTGTATGCAATTTCGTCACTTCTAGCCTTGCAGAGCCACCAGCATGGTGGTGATACTCTTCCACCACACAAATCAGTTTCATTTGTTGCTAGGTTGATGTGTGTGTGTGTGTGTGTGTGTGTGTGTGTGTGTGTGTGTGTGTGTGTGTTCGCGCGCGCTATGTCTGGTTCCTGGGAGCCTGTTAACTTTTTTAGGCTCCTAACTTAATGAAGTTCCTACCTTCCAAGTTATTTCAAATCTGTCAAAGCATAGTGAGTGGGAAATATATCAGAGGTGGTGACGCCTCCTAGCGTGCATGAGCCCCTGAATTTGATCTCAGCACATCAAGGACAGGAAAGCACCATGTAATTAAAAGCACATCTCCATCAATATTGTAAAATTGTTACACTATATCTTAAGGGTTATCTGTGGTTTTTATCAGTTCTCAGCTTGGCTCACAGTTTTTGCCTCTCAGATAGCCTGCTCCAATAGAAACACGTGAGTCAGTTTCCCCTTATGTCTCCACAGTCCTCAGAGAAGTCAGAGGTTGACTATCTAAGTTGTTTTCCTGCCCCTCCCCCCACCCCCAGGTTTTCCATCTCAACCAAAGACGTACATTCCCTGAAGGCCTGGCTTCTTCCAAATGCCTCAGCTCCTTTCCATCCTGGTTGACCTTAGGACTCCTCTGATGATGGCTTGTACAAGGAAGAACCTTGAAGTGATCCAGGACCTTGTGGAACACGGTGCCAACCCACTCCTGAAGAACAAGGATGGCTGGAACAGTTTCCACATTGCCAGTCGAGAAGGAGACCCTGTGATCCTCCAGTACTTGCTCACGGTCTGCCCAGATGCTTGGAAAACAGAGAGCAAGATTAGAAGAACTCCTTTACATACTGCAGGTATAGCCTGCAATCGCTGCTTTCTGCACTTGGCTTCTCCCCAGCACTGCCTACACCTTGTAGTTCAAGTCATCTGCAAGGGGAATGGAGGATTTAGAAAACCAGAAGGCAAGGCGTCAGAGCACCTTGGGATTTCTCGGCAGACTATAAGTTTGTAAAGTGATGGAGCCCTGGGCTCTCGGGTCACTGTGTTAGTTCAGCTTTCCTATGTATCTGTCTTACCCTTCCTGGTCAGTTAGATGGCAGGCTGGTTCTGTACCTTCCAAAGTCTGTGACCGTGGATAAAGACCTTGGTCTGTGTTTGAGCAAATGTCCTTCTGAGCTTTTCACAGTGGTGATGATACCATGCTGTAGAGTCTTGGCAAAAGCAAAATTAGCGTGGAACATGTGGATAATGGGCTCAAAAGTCTAAAACAAGAAAGTTGGAAAATAAGCCTGGCAGCATGGTGCATGCCTCTCTAGTTCTAGCACTCAGGAGGTTGAGGTGTCAGAAGCCATTAAGTCTAAGGCCAGCTGAGCAATGTTGAGAGACCCTATCTCAAGTCCCACAATACCCCTCCCCCTAAGACAGAAATTTGGAAAATAACTCTTAGTCTAAGAGGCAGTTCACTGAATTAGCATACTGAGCTCGTACTGTCTCTGAAGATCAATGCCTAAGATATGATCCAGTCCATACTGTCTGGGAACAAGCACCCAGTTGTTCTCCGGCCATAGCTGGCACTTATGGACCAAGGAATCCTTCCTGAAACTTTTTGAGTAAGTAGGAAAAGTCCGCCTAGTTCATAAAATACTTGGCTAGCTCCCATCATACACACTCCCCAGAATATTGCCGGTCACCAATCTGTCACCCAAAATAAATGGAGACCAGGTAGAATCTTTTCTATTGGGAATAGGTATCTTCAGTCAGAGGAGTAAATTTCTAGATAATTTTCATAGATTACTATTAAATAGGTTACCTTCAAAATGTCTTTGCAGTTTTCTGGTGAGAGGCTACACCAGCCTTTGAAGACTACAGCACTAAAGTGGGGAGGTAGGCTTAGAACTGGAAGTTTGCCATGAAAGTGCTCTAAAGATGAAATGATCAAGTGCTTAAAGTGAAAACATCATTCTTTGCCATTTATTTGCTTGGGTTTTCTGGGGGGGCGGGGGGGGGACAGAACAGTAATATTACCTATTTTAGGTTTTTCTTCTGTGAGAAGAGCAGGGCCGATGTGACTGAAGAGATGACTCAACAGCTAAGAACACTTGTTGGTCCTCTAAAGGACCCGGGTTCAGTTCCCAGCACCCACATGGTAGCTCACAACCATCTCTTTTCTAGATCCCTATTTTCAAGGGATCCATCACCAGAATGCAAACAAAACAGTTATACACAGAAAATAGAATAAATAAATCTAAAGCAAAAAAAAAATTTTTAGAGCCAGGAGAAAGGTGTTTGTCCAATGAGTTCCCTCCCCAGCTGTCTTAGTTATGGTTTCTACTGCTGTGAAGAGACACCATGACCATGCAACTCTTATAAAGGAAAAACACTTAATTGAGGACTTAAGTTTCAGTGGTTAGTCCATTATCATCATGGCAAGACGTGGTGCTGGCTACGTTTTGGTCAGAAGGCAGCAGGAAAGGGTCTGTGACACTGGAAGTAGCTTGAGCATAGAAGAACTCAAGCCCACCCTCACAGTGACACACTTACTCCAACAAGCTCACACCTCCTGATAGTGCCACTCCCTTTGGGCCATTTTCTTTCAAACCACCACACCAGCCAAGAAGGTTTCACTCCAAAGTTATACACTACAGTGAGACAAAAAGTTATACAGTTAAAAGTTCTGATTGCCTCTGTTCTTTCCCCCGCAGCAATGCATGGCTGTTTCGAAGCAGTACAGGAGCTTCTTGATAGGTAAGAACAAGAACAACATGGTAAATTGACGGAAAGTATTTCTTAGTTACAGAGAGCTCAGTGTCCACGAACAACAGGGCCACGTACCAATGGGCATTGCAAGGAATTCAGGGTTCCTGTAGGAGTGTGTGAGGGGAAGACCCCGTGTGAATTAGGAAAGACTGAAGAAATAAATGTCTCAGCACCAGCACAGCCAAAGCTGTAGGTAGGGGCAAGGGAGTTTTTTGCACCAAGAAAAAGAATAGCACATTTGAGAGACAGGAAGTAGTTCTGGCTATGCTAAAGTCTAAACAGTAGAGAATATGGATGCTGTAGACCATTGCGTTCATTTTACGTATCTGAATGTTTAGCTTGCGTGCATGTCTGTATACCATATGCATGCCTGGTGCCTGTGGTGGCCAGAAGAGGATGTCAGAGGAAATCAAACCCAGGTCCCCTGGGAGAGCAACAAGTCCTCACCACTGCTGAACTACTCCTCCAGGCTCCTTGTTGAAGGGTTTTTAAGCCAAGGGTCATAAGAAATCAGCAGTGTTGCGGTATCACCTGGCTACAAAATATAAATGAGCCTGGGAGGAGAGCAGGTTTCTGTGAAATGGTCTCTTCAGTTGATGAAGTGAAACGGGAGAAATGATGGTATCTGGGCTGAAGAGATGAGTGTAGAGAGTGTGGTGGTTTGACTATGAATGCTCCCATATATTCGAATGCTTAGTTACCAGGGAGAGAGGAATAGAAGGATTCGGAGGTGTGACCTTTTTGGAGGAAGTGTGTCGCTGGGATTGGGCTAGGCTTAGGCTCTCTCTGCCTAGGGATCAGGGTGTAACTCTTAGCTACTATTCCAGTGCTTGCCTGCATGCCACCGTGCTCCCTACCATGATAATGAACCGAACCTCTGAAAGTGTAAGCAAGCCCTCAATTAAATCTTTCTTTCCTAAAGATTTATCTTTATGGGCTGGAGAGATGGCTCAGAGATTAAGAGCATTGCCTGCTCTACCAAAGGTCCTGAGTTCAGTTCCCAGCAACCACATGGTGGCTCACAACCATCTGTAATGTGGTCTGGTGCCCTCTTCTGGCCTGCGGGTATACACACAGACAGAATATTGTATACATAATAAATAAATAAATAAATAAATAAATAAATAAATAAATAAATATTAAAAAAAAAAGATTTATCTTTATAGCAGTAGAACAGTGACCAGGGCAAGAAGAAAGAGGTGGGTTGAGGGGTATCTTTAAAAAGTTGAATCAATAGGAATAGGATGAAAATGACCTGAGAGAGTCTGGAGATGTAGCTCAGTGGAAGAATGCTTGCCTAGCATATTCAAGGCCTTGGGTTTTTTCTCCAGCGCCATAGAAAATAAAGGAGGGGCAAGGGAACATGACTTTCACAGTGTGGCACCTGCTGAGACATTGGGCACTGGAAGAGGAGCAGGGTTGGGGCTGGAAGCATAAAAATTTCACTTTGGAACAAGTGGAGTAGTTGCATCTCTGTAGAGATCAAAGCAGAGTTCAAGTGAGTTGAGACAAGATGGGCCAGAAAGAGATGTGAGGCTTGGCAACCTATACATGGTGATGTGATGTAGACGTGGAAAGATCATAGGTGAAAAAGAGCCGTGAACCCTGGGTCCTAAAAGCACGTGTCAAGCACTTGGAACCACAGATGGAACATATTTGCTTTTCTGCAAATTTACAAATACTCTTCACTGAAGAAAACACTTCCAGTAACCTTGTAATGAAATAAGCATAGCTCTTCTCTAGTGGCCTTCATAGGCTAATGAAGAAGACACTGTGTATAAATAATGCCAATCAAGATGGCTGATGACTAGCTGCCATGGAAAATTGGGGCAGGGGAAGGTGAGGTGAGGATCATGATAAGAACATTAGAGCCTGCATCAGTTGACCCGTGTATAGGGTGAAAGCAGCAACGGAGAGGAGCATATAGATGTTTAAGTAGCCTGGCTGCAGAATTATATGTAGGTAATTGGTCAGGGAGAAAAGAGGAAGATAGTAAGGGTGACTACAAAGTGTCCAAGCTTCGCAAAGCTGAAGAAATGAAGGTTCCAGCTATCCTAATAGAGAAGGTTAAAAGGGGACGGCCCTGAAGATGCGGAACTCAGTTCAGGTGCTGTGGTGGTCATGGGAAAGATAGCTCTAGATGGTCACAGATCATCTGTAAGGCACACAGCCTGCCTGCAGGCCACCCTGTCGCCTTTTTGGGTTGGAAATGGTAAATATTCACGGTTGTGTCATTTTGGATTTGACTCTAGGTGTGACTATGCGCCAGACTGTAGAGACAACTGTGGCGTCACACCCTTCATGGATGCAATTCAATGTGGCCATGTTCACATAGCCATGCTGCTCCTTGAAAAACACAAGGTATGAAGTGCTTCTGCTTATTCCTTTAGTTCTTCCTGAGAAATGTTAGATCTGGGGATAAACAGTACATCGTTATTCAGTCGCTGCCTTCACATCCTGCCTCCTCTGAGTTTCTCCATCTTTGACCCCTGTAAACATACATGCATAAGTGTTCCCATCTCTAAAATTGTGACAAAATGTGATTTCCTCAGAAGGTTCCTACATGAATTTAGTGATCCTAGGGTTGGAGCTCAAAGTAAAGTGCTTGGGTAGCATGCTCAGAACCTTGGACTTGAGCTAGGGACGATCCAATAATCCAACATACACAGAGCAGTTAGAAAATTAAGGATTCAGTTCTTATTGTCACTTTGACTGTAATAGCAACAAACCATCCTGACAGAGCTTAAGACTCGCTAGACAGAGCATTGACTCAGCTACATTTTAGTTCAAGCACTTAGAGAACAGAAGAAATTATGTGCTCTGCCCAGCAGAACCGCACAGACAGCTGCACCAAAACATCTGCAGGCCCGTGAACCCAGCTCCCACTGCTTTTTGCATTGCCCGTCTTCCCTCTCTACTAGGCTTGCCCTTCAGCTGAAGATAGCCTGGGGGCCCAGGCTCTACACCGAGCAGCAGTCACTGGGCAGGATGAAGCCATTCAGTTCCTGGTGTCTGGTCTTGGCATTGATGTAGATGTGAGAGCAAAGTCCACCCAGCTCACAGCACTTCTTTTTGCAGCCAAGGTCAGTTGCTTCTCCTGACAGACAGCATTTCTTCCTTCGGCTTGGTTTGCTCCAATGACAGACAGCTCTGCAGTCTTGGCATCTTCGGCTCCCTTTATATTCTATATTCTTGAGATGTTTGTGATTCTGAATCTTTTAATTTCCTTAAATAGAAACATGACATTTTTGGTTTCTAGGCAAAAATGGAGAGAGAAGCACTTTTAATTCTGTATAATACTTGGGCTTTATGTACCCCTTTCCACCCTTATTTTCAGGAATGTTATTTAAACCCGTAAAGATGCTGAAGGGTGATGGAGGCCTTTTCAGTCGTCTCTTAAGTGTTTAAAAGCAAACTGTGGAGCTCCACTTTAGTATAGTATAGTTAATTTTTTATCTTATAAATAAATAAATAAATAAATAAATAAGGGGCTGGAGAGATAGCTCAATGTTATGTGTGCTGGCTGCTCTTGCAGAATTCCCAGCACCCACATAAGGCAGAACTCAAAATTGTTTTTAACTTCAGCTCCAGGGGATCTGACTGACTTCCTCTTCTGGCCTCAGCATACATGTGTTCACACACACACATGAAAATAAAATGGTTTGCTAAAAAATAACAAATGAACAAAGACTCATTATATGAAATTTGTAGTTCTTATAGTAAAGTGAGAATTTAAAATCTCTTTAACTAACACAAAGAAATTGCATCTACTGGTCTCTCCAATGTATAAAACATTAAAGATGTCCATAAATATTTCACTAAAGAAAAAGCTATTTTCAGCGCCTTGCTTATTATACATTGTTTAGAAGCTATGTGCCTTTATTTGGTTTTCTAGAAGCAAGAGTACATGTTTTCTGACCAACAATCCCTACCACACTCCCCCAGAATACAAGGAATATAGATTCATAAATGGACTGAGGGCCCAGTCCACAAATATTTCCCCCATAAAAAGACTGAATCTGAAATCTTTTTGTTTTTTTGATTTTATGTATTTTTATTTCATATGCATTGGTGTTTTGCCTGCATGTATGTCTGTATGTAGGAGGGTGTCAGATACCCTGGAACTAGTCACCGACAGCTGTGAGCTGCCATGTGGGTACTGGGGATTGAACCTGGGTCCCTTAGGAAGAGCAGCCAGTGCTCTTAACCACTGAGCCATTCTTACAATTCCCAGCAAACAAAGAGTTCGTATGCTTGGGAAATTCGATGATTTTTAAGATCTATATAAACCACAAGGTTTTATGCTGCTGACCTTGATGGAACCCTAATCATATTATCCATCCTGACAACTGAATGTTACAAATATTTAACAATTTGTGTGTGAATCATGGCTGATATAAATCATCCTTAAAACGGGAGGTTTCCGTATTTGCGGTTGTCTGCATCAAGAAGAGATTCCAGTGTGCACTGGAGACTGTTTTGGGTTTTTTGTTGTTTTTTTTTAATATTTATTTATTATGTATATAATATTTTTAATATTTATTTATTATGTATATAATACTCTGTCTGTATGTAGGCCAGAAGAGGGCACCAGACCTCATTACAGATGGTTGTGAGCCACCATGTGGTTGCCAGGAATTGAACTCAGGACCTTTGGAAGAGCAGGCAATGCTCTTAACCACTGAGCCATCTCTCCAGCCCACTAGAGACTGTTTTTAAAGGGTAGTTTTTGCCCTCATCACAGCAGTAATGAGTTTATTTCCACACTCAGGAGGGACAGACAAGCACCGTTCAAACGCTATTATCCCTGGGTGCCGACATCAACTCTAAAGATGAAAGAAATCGCTCAGGTATGGAATCCTAGTGACTCGGGTACTTTTTAGTTAAAAGCATTGATGTAGGTTGAACACCTCAGTGGTGGGCTTTTACCTAATGTGCACACTGCCCTGCATGCAGTCTCTAGCCCTGAAAACCAAACACTCTTCTTTAAAATAGCTTTTCCTTTGTAAAAGCTGTTGTAGCTATTGATATTGACATCACAGTTTTTGGTTTAGCTTTTTTGTTGTTATTAAAATTTTACATATATATATATTTTTTTATGTGTATTGGTGTTTTGCCTTTACATGTGTAAGCACCATGTGCATGCCTGGTGCCTATGGAGGTTGGATCTAGATTTACAGAGACTGTGAGCCACCTTGTGGATGCTGGGAATTGGACCTGGGTCCTCTGGAAGAACAGTCAGTGCTCTTAACTGCTCAGCCCTGCCTCCAGCCCCTTATTTGTAGACCTGGCTGTCCTTAGACTCACAGAGATCCACGTCCCCCTGCTCGTCGAATGCTGGAATTAAAGGTGTATGCCACCATACCTTGTAGGTTTATCTTCTTTAGAAATATTTTCATCCCAGTCAGGTTTAAATTGTGATCCACTATAGGCCATCATGGGTAGGTTACAAAAGTGTACAATCTGTATAAGTGGGTAGCAGACAAGATGGCTCGGTGGGTGAGAGCTCTTATAGCCAAGCCTGGCCATCTGTGTTTTATCCCCCAGGATCCATCTAGTGAAAGAGAGCCAGCTTCTGCACTGTGTCCTCTGACCTCCCTCTACACATGCACTGTGACAAATGAGCACACACACACGCAGTTACACATGCACTGTGACAAATGAGCACGCACACACACAGTTACACATGCACTGTGACAAATGAGCACACACACACAGTCGCACTCTAAGCACAACTGGATAATCCAGTGGGTTCGGAATGCAGCGCGTGTTCTCAGCATAGACCGTTGTCTCCCTGTAGCCGTGCATCTGGCCTGTGCAGGTCAGCACGTGGCTTGCGCCAAGTTCCTGCTGCAGTCGGGACTGAAGGATTCTGCAGACCTAACAGGCACCCTGGCCCAGCAGCTCACAGCGAGTAGAGATATCCTTCGGGACTTTGACCACACTGTGAAGTCATGAGGATGTTTGAAGAAGGAGGCAATAAAGTTCATGGGAACGGACGTCCTGCGTTTTCGGTTAGACAAGCGAGTGAGTTATTTCTCAGCCAATGTTTTCTTCTCCTTCTGCCCTCCCGTCATGTTCCTCTGCTGGAAGGCTTGCCAGATGACCAAGACTCTGGATTCCTGGCATGTTGTATGATCTTGAAGGCAGCCATTTATTTTTTCTTTTTTAAACCGTACTGGGGGTTGAGACCAGAGCCTTGCATATGCTAACTAAGCCAGTGCTGTGCCTCTGAGCTCGAGGGTCAGCCCCATACTTTGGTTTTTCTACCCTTCAAGTAGAATGAGATTAAATATTGAGTCCTGGGAATCCCTGAGAAGTACATAATGTGAACAGATGTAATATATATCCTTCTTTAAATGTATGAAAATGTAATAAAATTTGAAATATGAATTGCTGTTTCCTCAAGCTGTAAAACATAATTGGCCTATTTAATTTTTTTCCTTTACGGGTTTTATGTGGTCATTCGGTTTCATAGCCAGGGATGGTGTGCATATTTCACCCACTTATAACAATGCTTACAGGGAGTTGACAGACACCTTTTTATATTCTCATTACTGCTAGTTGGGCTAAATTTCTTTTTTTTTTAATGCATGTGGATATTTTGCCTGCATGTAGTTCTGTGTGCCACATACATGCCTGATGCCTTCCGAAGCCAAAAGAGGCTGTCAGACCCCCCCCCACACACACACCAGGAATGGAGTTACAGATAGTTGTAGATGTTGGGAATCAAGCTTCGAGCCTGGTGAAACAGCCAGCACTGAGCTGAACCATCTCTCCAGCCCCAGCTGTAAGATTTTAATCTTCAAGGGTTTCTGTTTCAGTCACGAGCAAGATGCAATCCTCACTAGTTTAGTGTACTGCGACAGGTACTGTGACACACCTACCTCACTCCAGAATTGTGCCTGCCTTGGCAAATAGCAAAGACTTCCAGCTCCTCTTGATTATCCTCTCATGGAGTTCATACATCCCTGCTTCTAACCACCAAATAAATGTCCCTGTAGAAACACAATCCTGACTTGTAATCTCGCCACCATACACTACACATATGCTCATCAGAGATGGGATTGCCACGTTCCCTCGTGTCAGCGATTCCCTTGTTTCAGTACCTTTGGGGCCTGAAGATGACCCTGGTGTGTGATATTCCGTGCACGCATGTTGGGGCAGAAGATCCGCCTTAGCACACACACAAAACATTCTGTTCTTTCACGTTCATAGTCTCCCCCTCTCTCCACTCTTCCCCTCCTCGGATTTGTAACTTTTCTAAGCTCTGAGTGCAAGAGATCGGAGACCTGAGCTGTAAAGCCTGGCATCTCTTGTTTGCTACTCTGAACACACAATTCCCGCGTGTCACGTTGCTTCTGCCCATCCTGGTACTAGATTCCATAAACCTTGACAACTACAGCCACTGCTAAAGTGACCCAGCAGCCAGAGATGACCGACAGTAATTATCACAACATTAATTGTAGCAAAGAAAGCCGTAATAATATGTGATAACAATACACTTTCGCTGTAATACTCTATTAGAGATGGCTAATAGCAATGCAAATGATAATAATTATTCCCTCCTAATTATAGTTGCTTTCTTTATTTCCTTTGGGTCTCTCCCTAAGAGTTACCTTCTCAGGCTTCCCTACCTAAAATTATTCCTTTCTTCAGCACTTAATACTTCCTTCTCTGTGATGGTTAGCTCTGTGATTGTCTGCTTAGGTGTTAACAGAGCCTGGAGTCACCTTTAAAGAGAGTCTGGATGCTTGATTGTTCTCATTGGGTTGGCAGGGGGTACGTCAGTAAGAAATTGTCTTAAAATTAAGTTAATTGATACGGGAAGAGCCAGTCCACTGTGAGCAGCACCATTCCCTTTGGAGGGGGTGGTGTCCTAAACTGTATGAGAGGGGAGAATTGAACGGAGCATAAACAAGCCATTAAGTGGGCACGATAGTTCTTTCTCTCTGCTTTTAATTCTGGGTATGAGCTGATAGCTGTTTGAAGTTCCTCCCTTGACTGTAACTGGGACTTTGTAAGCAGAAATAAACTTTTCTCCTGAGCTGTTTTTTGTCAGAGTTTTTAATCATAGCAACAAAATAAAACTAGAAAGAACCCCCTACCTTTTTTCTTTCTAATGTATTTACTGCTAGCAAATACATCATTACATTTGAGTAACTTTTTTCATTGCCTCTGTCCTCCATTGATGTTTAATGAGCTTGGGTTGAGACTGAGGCCCAGAGCAGCCCTGGTGCAGAGTGAGTCTATTATAGTGCGTTAGTGAATGTGGACTAGTAGTGACTCGTATTTATGGTGCTTACTGTATGCTAGCTGTTGTGCCAAACAGCTCGCCTGGGTTGGCTAGTTTTGTTCTCTGGCTTTTGTACTTTGTAGATCATTATTACTCCATCTCAAGCAGCCTTTTTTACACACACTCCCTTGGAGAGTCTACATTTGGAACCTGCCCCAAATTCCAGCTTCATTGCTGCTCCTCTGTGCAGAGTGTGAAGTCAGCAGGGATTTCCCAACTGCCAGGTTAAGTAATCCTTTGTTAAAGACAGGGTCTCACTATGTAGTGTAGCTCTGGCTGTCCCTGCACTCACTCTGTAGACCAGGCTGGTGCCGACTCACAGAGTCTCCTGCTGCCTACTAGGTGTGGGATTAAAGTTGTGCAGTGCCAGGGGAGCTGGAGAGATGGCTCAGAGGTTAAGAGCATTGCCTGCTCTTCCAAAGGTCCTGAGTTCAATTCCCAGCAAACACATGGTGGCTCACAACTATCTGTAATGAGGTCTGGTGCCCTCTTCTGGCCTGTAGGCATACACACAGACTGAATATTGTACACATAATAAATAAAATATTTGCCTGGCGATGGTGGCACACGCCTTTAATCCCAGCACTCGGGAGGCAGAGGCAGGCGGATCTCTGTGAGTTCAAGACCAGCCTGGTCTACAGAGCTAGTTCCAGGACAGGCTCCCAAAGCCACAGAGAAACCCTGTCTCAAAAAAAGAAAAAAAAAAAAAAAGTTGTGCAGTGACGGCCACCACCACCTGGCTATGTATTCTCCCCTGTTTTCTGGACTCTTGTACCTATGATCACTTCCAGTTTGTTCTTTTTCTTCTCTTTTCTCTCCCCCAGTCCCCTTTTCTTTCTTCCTTCCTCCTTCTTTTTTTCTTTCTTCAAAGATAGGGTCTCAGTGTGTGGCCTTGAATCTGTGATCTTCCTGCTTTCGCCTTCACCTTTGTAGTGTCAGGATTGAAGGAATGGGCCACCATGCCTTGCTTCTGAGGTTTCCTTTCTTCAGGCTTGTAGGCAGAAACTGCTCGTTTGTTCCCGGCTGTTGAGACCCAAAATAATCTCACAGAAACGATATTAATTGCAACGCTGCTTGGCCAATGGTTGTGGCATGTTCCTAGCTAACTCTTACGTCTTGAATTAACCCATTTTACCACCAGGCTCATGGTTTACGGGTAAGGTTCCCAGGCATCTATCTCCTTGATTCCGCCTTCTTTCTCCCAGTATTTAGTTTAGTTTTCTTGCCTAGCTCTATTCTGCCCTGTTGTAGGCCAAAGCAACTTTATTCCTTAATCAATAAAAGCAGCACATATACAGGACTTCCCACATCACGGACGGGTCTCTGCTTCCTTTCTGCACTTCTCTTTTAGGGTCTGCCCGTTGAATACTAGTGTACCCAGTTCCACTCCCAGTCACTCCTCTTTATTCCTCATTTGCTACTGAAGTAATCGCCTTTGATTCTCTGGCTTTACCTACAGTGGCAGCCACCCAACTCTGTCTAACCTTATTTTCAACTGCCCACTGAACATATTTTGCATGGCTTTATGAAGCTGTCTTACAAACTATTCCACACTTCTCCATACCCTGCTCACCTCTGTCTTATACTTGCTGCCTGGTCGAGGGCTCCTCAGTATACCAGGCCAATCACACTGGAAACCTGAGGTCACTTGTAAGTAACTCCCTCCTGGAGAAGCCCTTGTGTGCTCCAGCTGTTAGATAGCACTGTCGCCTCCGGCTCTCATGGATACGCTCCTCTGACAGCGCATCTCATGTATGTGCTCACGTGTGCAGCAGCCTTGCAATCACTACTCCTACTTCTACCTGCGTTCCCAAGTCTGCCCTTCATGTAGCTGCCAGAGAGCTCTCCCTGGTTCAGATAAGGGCACTGATTGCCAGTGGCAGCTCCTTGTCCTCCCAGAGACTAGAGGCTTTGTTAAGAGGTCCCTTCTTGCAGCATGTGACTGTTACTATTGATTGTCACCTTGCAAGGATCTCGAATCACCTGAGACACACCTCTGGGCACGTCTGTGAGGGAGTTTCTAGATGCCGTTCATTGAGGTAGGCGAGCTCAATAGCTGGACTGAGGAGAAGGAGAAAGTGAGAAATGAACTGAGCAGCAGCTCTCGTCTGCCTGCTTTGACCGAGGGTGGAGTATGACTAACTAATGGCCTCCAGTTCCTACCACCGTGCTCTTCCTGCTTTGACGGTCCGTGCCCTCGAACTGAAAGCCTAAACAAAGCCTTGCCCTCCTTAGCTCCATTCCATCAGGCATTTTGTTACAGCAACAAGATGACACCAAACCCAGAGAACCCAGACGACAATGAGGACCCTCAGAGAGACATACATGAATCTAATCTACATGGGGAGTAGAAAAAGACAATATCTCCTGAGTAAATTGGAAGCATGGGGACCATAGGAGAGGGTTGAAGAAGAGGGGAGAGTTAGGGAGGGGAGCAGAGAAAAATGTGGAGCTCAATAAAACTCAATAAAAAAATACATTGACGACACAAGGTCTTATTACAGAGCTGAGGCTATGATGGGTAGCCCAGGCTGGCCTCAAGTTTATGATCCTCCGCTTCACCCTCTTGAGTGCTGGCATTACAGTCAGAGCCACTTTGCCTAGCTGACTAGGGCTTCCGACCCTTCCCTTAAGACCTGTTTTCACAAGGGCTGTCTGTCGGTCTGAAGAGCAAACTCTCTTTCGTGTTAAGCGCATCTTAATTAAGCTCAATCAAGATAGAGCTGTCAGGGAGGGAATGGATAAAAACTGCAATCACTTGAAAACTGCTAGATTTAAAATATGACTTCCGTACAAAAGGAATTCTCTGAGACAGTAGTTACAGAACAGAATGAAAACAGACCTCGAGACAGGAAAGGTATAGAACTCTGGCTTAAGAAATGAGAAGCTTGCAAAGAGAGAGGCGGGGAGTGAAAGGAAGAGGAAGAGAAAGGAGGCTGCTTTTAATCTACCCTGAACTGTTCCTGTTCACCAGCAGGTGGCGGGCCAGAAAAATGCCTTTTATTCTCGCAGATCTTAAGACACAGAAAAGGATGAAGGAGGAAACCAAAATCATCAGTAATTCCACTGCTCGGTTATAGTCCCTCTTTTCTTAAATACTCCTTTTATTTACTGTTACTTGTGTATGGAGTGCACATCCAGGCACGCATGAGCGGCAGGCAGAGAGCAGCTCTGAGGAACCGCGTTTTCTCCTTCGGTGGTGGGATGCAGGGATCTGACTCAGTTCCTCAGGCTTCTAGGGTGTGTAGCTTGCTTTCCCAAAGCCAGAGCTCAAGGCAGGAGCTTGACGCGGAAACCATGGTGCTTTGCTAATTGTCTTGCTCCGAGGCGCACATGCAGCTACATCCTGGGCCCACCCGCCTCAGGATGGCATCACCCACAGTGGGCTGGACCCTCTTACGTCAATTAGCAGTCAATTAGCGATCAGTAAAATGTTCCTACATCTATGACCACAGGTCCATCGGATCTGACCAATTCTTCAGTTGAGGTCGCTTTTGTTCTCAGGGGACTCTAGGTTTGTATCAAGTTGACAGCTGAAGCTAACTGTCACACGCCAAGAGCTTATACTACTGAGGTACCTCACAGCCACAGTAGCCCACTCTTCTCTTTCTTTCTTTTTGTATTTATTTTTTATTTGTTTGTTTTTCAGGACAGGGTTTCTCTGTGTAACAGCCCTGACTGTCCTGGAACTCACTTTGTAAACCAGGCTGTCCTCGAACTCACAGAGATCCACCTGCCTCTGCTTCCCGAGTGCTAGGATTAAAGGCATATGCCACCACTGCATGGCTTATTCTTCTCTTTCTGTCAAAGTGAGTGTGGTTGAGACAATGCAGTATATGTATTTTGCCCCTAATTTTATACTAAGAAGATTGCATGTAGTGATATGAGCGGCGGACTGCTTCCCACCACCCGGCTAGCTTTAAACCTGAAATAATTACACGGAAACTGTATTCATTTAAACACTGCTTGTCCCATTAGTTCCAGCCTCTTATTGGCTAGCTCTTACATATTGATCTAACCCATTTCTAATAATCTGTGTAGCCTACAAGGTGGCTTACCAGGGAAGATCTTAACCTGCATCTGTCTGGAGTGGGAGAATCATGGCGACTCCCTGACTCAGCTTCTTTCTCCCAGCATTCTGTTCTGCCTACTCCACCCACCTAAGGGATCGCCTATCAAAATGGGCCAAGGCAGTTTCTTTATTAGCCAATGACCTTCCTCCATCAGTTGCATACTCTGCTTTTAAGTCTGTCAAGTACTTTATCTTGTTATTGTCTGTATTAATTATTTTATATAAACTTTCATTTGTTTGTTTTGCTGCATTCAGGGTCAAACTCAGGGCCTTGGACATACTAGACCACCACTTTGTCACTGAGATACGTCCTGAGTGTTGGTAAAGACAGGATAATCAATAAACTTGTCAGATTCCAGTGAAGAAATGAATTGGAGACTATAAAAAGTCTGCTAGATTTGTTCACCAGCAGGGTAGAGGCTGGGTGAATGACTGAAAAACAATGAAGTCACACAGGGCTTAAGCACACCTAAACTTCTTTGGATATGGTGAGTGCTAAGGAAAAAAGAAATGGGGAGATGACTCAGGGGGTAGGAACACTGGATGCTGTTCCAGAGGACCCTAGTTTGATTCCAAACACCCACATGGTGGTTCACAACCGTCTGTAACTCCAGTTCTAGGAGATCTGATTCCCTCTCTGGCCTCTGCTGGCATCAGGCACACATGTGATGCAC